GCGAGACACCGTTCCCAGGACGTCCATTTACAACTTCGAGCCGAGCAAAATGGAAGTGAACGACGTGGAAAATTTACATGGCGCTTTGTGCCACCCACTTGCCCAACTTACAGCGTGTACAAGCGCGGCACACGTAAGCTTGTCAAGTATGGTGAGACGTACCTCTTTGACATAAAGGCGCCGGCTTCATAATTCACGGGAATCTTCCTTCGGGCTTTCGACTTAGCGATATAAAGGGAAAGAGGTACCGAGAAAGAGAAACGATGAGAAATGAAAAACGATGGCTGCGAGAGGACTTTACTTTTCCTCTCTCTCTCACACACACATACACACATATATATTTACACATATACACGCTGTGCGCGCCGGAAAATCCTTGTGAATTCTATTCAGAGTCCTCGTGGAACAAATCGAAGCGAGCATTATTCATAATAGCCGGCTGAGCAAACGTGCCAAACGTGACGTTTATTATTCACGCGGCCGCATTCTCGCAGAAGCGAAGGAAGGAAGGTCGAAAGACGTTCGACGTTCCTCCGCTACTATCGACTGCCGAGAAACGCCAAAACTGACAATGGCAGATTTTTTTTTTTTATATCTCTATGAGGAGAGAATGGCGTTGTTGGCTTGAAGTTTGTACATTTGCACGTACACCTTCTCGGTCTTTTCCTTTATTTTCACTCCTTATTGGATTGTTGGTAAAATCTCGAGATAGGTTTCTGGTTTTTAATGAAGATGTTTCGATACGATTATCTATTATCGAAGCCAAGAATGTTGAATTAGCGAAAAAGAATTCCCAATTTCCAGAGGTCAACATTGTCTTCTTATACAATAATTTATTATTGATAAATTAACAGATTCGTATTCTTCTTCTCGCTTCATCTTCAAAGCATACAAAAACGATCACAGTAATAATACTAATAACACTGACAAGTTGTAAATCAATATAATAACATTAACAAGTTACAAGTTATAGATCTATGGACATCTTTACAACTTTATACTAAATCAGGCAAACTCGTAATTTCTCAAATCCTTCTACGCGACTTTTGTCTATTTTGTCATTAAGCTTGTTACATACAACAGTTTTATTAATACCAATCAGTTCTAACTTCTGACTTGTACATCTTCACTGATGACATTAAGTCGGTATAAAACAAAGAAGCAGGCGTAGCTCTGAATTACACACGGTTCGGTGAAATTAATAACACTAGCCCAAGTTCTAAGTTCACATAACAATATTGACAAGTTATGAGTTACAGAACTGTGAACTTTTTCTTGTAGTAATTTTATACTAAAAAAGAAAAATAATGAGGTAACTCGTAATTTCTACCTGCCTAAGCAACTTTGTTTGTTTGTTAATGACATTGACTCGGTACAAGAAGCAGGATTCCTAGAAACGCGTGAACGTGTATGTGTGGCTCTGAGTGACACACGGTTAGGTTCGTTGAAACTACAGGAAGCATCCGTTTCGAAGGTATCCGATGGAAGATAGAAGGTATCCGCGAGCTTTACGACATTTCTGATAGCAACCGCTGTGATTTACAGCCGGTCTCCACGGAACGACGTGTTTCCCGCAAAGAAATGACGCGATCCCTTTCTACCACCTAACCTAACCTAACCTAACCTAACCTAACCTA